GAGTCAGGGGAGTTTCCACAGAGGGGCGGTGAATGCCATGAACTGCCTGTTTCCTTGCAAGTCCCTCCACTGGCTCCAATTTTTCTGGAGCAGGCAAAGTCCCATCTGGGTTCCTTCCCTGGGGACGCTTAAAGAGACAATGACAAGTCAATGGACCGCAGCTTAAGAATGCAGGAGTGATTTATTTTACGACTTAGGTGGGGTGCACCGGATGACTCCTGTGGGGTTCAGGTGGAGCCAAATGACTGAGGCTTTAACTCGGTGCAAGTCTACTCTTCCGACTGTTGTAAAAAGCACCAGCGCCCCCAGGTCCAGTGCCCACACCTGTCCAAGGTCACATTTCCACAGAATACAAAGCAAACAATTTTGAAATCCACATTTTCAGCGATAGCTGAGATGCTCTTTTTATAGCTGTTTTGTTTTTGTTGGCATTGGTTTTGTTTGGTGTATGTGTCTAAAATCTGAGCTCCGGGGAGTGATTTAAGGCAGCAAGAGACAGGGCAGGGAAGAAGCCTGTTAATGACCCCTGCTCTCTGAGATGAAACAGACTTTAACTTCTTGTCAAGCAGGAAGATAGCCTTTTGTTTTCCAGGTTTGTTATTCTCCGCCTTCAAAAAGGTTCCTCCTCCCCATTCTCCACTCTCCCTCCCCCAGTCCCTCTTCTATATGCTGTTGGATTTTGGCCTGGGCTAGCCTGCTCGCCCTGGCCCCTCCACAGCACTCTGACACCTGGGCAAGAGATGGGCCACTCACTGGACGTGTAGTACCTGCTCTGCCACCAATCCGCTTGCTCCCCTAGAACCAACTCTCCACTCTTTCAGCCTGCTGTTTCCTCTCCTTCATACAAAGCTAAGACGGAAATCTGCCCACACGGTGCCGAGTTGCGATAAACTTGAAATCCATCCATATTTCGGTTCAGTTCTCTTCTTAACGTTAAGATCAAAGCTGATTTTCCACAGAGGTCAGAGGGTGCATCTAGCCAGCTGAGTTCCTGAGGAACCTAAAAAGAAGCTGAGACAGTTCCCAGAATCCTCAGTTTCCTAAATGGACTGATGAAAATCAAGGCAAAGAGTGTTGTGTGGATTGTCAGAGTCAGAACCATGCTCATGTCCCAGAGAAGGGGTGAAACAGGGCACCCTGTTCAGTGCAGGGGCCAGTCAGTCTCCTAGTCATGGAGAAACAGAGGACTCTGGGCAGCAAAATCCTTCAGTAATGTGTATGAACACTGGCAGATGGTTTATATGTTATTTGTGGATATATTGGCAATCAATCAAGCATTTCCAAGTACAGACAGGGGTAACTCAGCCTGTGCTGTAGGAGAGATATCTAGGATATGCCACACCCTCAGTCCAGGACCTACTCAGTGAGAAAGTGAGCAGCCACAGACATACATAGGTCGCTCTGATAGGGTTGTTTGGTCAGTGAAGGCCTTGTTCTCCATCGACAGTGAAAGCCCCTGCTATCTTCTTCAGTTACTACCTTGGACCGATAAAGTCCAATAGCTATTTGCTGAGGGAATGAACAAATGAATGAATGAATTTACAAACAAATGAATGGCAAAAGATAAATGCGGAAGGAACTCATAGAGGAAGAAATAGCTGGAGGAACTCACAAGGAAGGTGTATTTGAACTTGGCCTAGAAGAGTGGCAAGTATTTCCAGATACTGAGGGAACACTGAGTGATCTAATCAAGAATGTGAAAGTGTGAGAAGGAACAGCTCATGGGCCACTGAATGGAACCTAGCAGAGGGATAGCTAGAGAACACAGTGATATTAGTGGTATTTGAGGACTCTGGGGCAGGAATCAGACTGTTGTGTGATGTGGGAGTCCCCTCTGTGTGCTGTGATTACCATTAATGAATAAAAAAACTGCTTTGGACCTATTACAAGGCAGAACTTATGTAGGCAGGGAAAGCTAGGTTGAATGCTGGGAAAAAGAAGAGCGGAGTCAGAGGGATGCCATGGAACCGCTGTGAGAGTCAGACATGTCGAAACTTTAGCTGGTAAGTCACTGTCATGTGACGATACACAGATTACTAGAGATGGGTTAAATTAATATATAAGAGATTAGCCAATAAGAAGCTAGAACTAATGGGTCAAGCAGTGATTTAATTAATACAGTTTCTGTGTGATTATTTCTGGGCTAAGCTAGCCAGGCGGCTGGGAAGAACAAGTGGTTCTCTCCTCTCTCCAACAGTTGTGGATGAAGATTTGGATTTTATCCTGCAGAAACAGTGATCTGGGGAGGATTCTTAATGTATATGAGCTGGGTATGTGATGGTGGTGTGGGAGAATTGTCTGTATTCTGTCAATCATATTTTAATAAAACGCTGATTGGCCAGGCAGGCAGTATAGGCGGGAAAGCCAGACAGGAAGTAAGGGTGGAGCAAAGAGACTGGGAGTATTCTGGGAAGCAGGAAGCTTGCATTCCTGCACAGACCACCGAAGAGGCAACAACATGTGAGCTGACAGCTGAAAGAGGTACCAAGCCATATGGCTAACATAGATAATGATAATAGATTAATATAAGTTACAAGGACTAATAAGAAGCCTGACCTAATGGGCCAATCAGCTTTATAACTTATAGAGATCTCTGTGTGGTTGATTTTCTTTGGGAGTTGCAGCCTGTGGGGTACCGGGCGGGACAGAAACCCCAACAAGCCAGCCCTCATGTTACATGATGGTGTTCTTGTTGAGGTTCTGAAGATGGGTGGAGCCCAGGAGACAAGGAAAGAAGATTCAAGGGGAGGTGAGAATGAAGATGGGAGTGGGGATGAGAGCAGAGATGTGGGGGAGATGAGTTGAGAGGGGAGATGCTAGAGGCTGAGCTGGGGATACAAAAAGTAGAATTAACACTGAGACTGGATTATGGAGTTCAGAGTTAAAAGACCATTGAGAACCTAAGTGTTAGGATCTGGTAACAGGTCTGCAAGATGGCAGTGACTGGAGGGGACACGCATGCTCAGTGCCCAGGATACTCATTTAAAAGTTAAGTTCCGCAGAGTGGCGCCTCCCAAGGATGAAGGCCTGGGTCTGTCAGAGGACACTCATAGAAAGATCTAGAAAACAGTTGGTCATTCATGATCAGAACTTAGAAGAAACACCAATGTGTGGGTTAGATTTATGAATCAGTTTTAACTCAGGAGGAAAAATAATGATGAAATAAAAAGATACAAGGAAAAATGTAATCATACAATCATTTTTAAATCAATAGAGAAGAAATGAAATGGGTAATTCAGAGTCGTGAACTATAGGGTCAAGTTCCATAGTAACAATCCCCTCCCTGCACAGCGTACTCACCATGTGGTATCCTGTGCTCTGCACACAAAATACCAGTTGAGGAGGGAACCTCAGGCAAACCTGAAGTTTGTCATAGAGGCCCAAAGTCCTCTGTGCATTCCCATACGCCCACATAGGTCCAGTGTAGGTCAGGTGCAAAGCCAGGCCCAGGAAGACAAATCTTCACGTCTCTGCAGTGGTGGAGATGGAAGCTCAACGGTTTTGTCAAGCAAGCTTTTATACCTTAAAACAAAGGGGGCTGGGGAGCTGGCTCAATGAATAAACTTTTCCTGTTTGCCAGGAAAGATTGAGGACCCGAGGCCCCAGAAGCCATATAAAAGCAGGGAATAGCTGCACATATTCATAACCTCATCAGTGGGAGGGGCAGGAAAAGGTGGATCTCTGGAACTCATTGACCCACCAATACAACTGAAATAATGAACCCCACATGCAGTGAGAGATCCTGCCCTGCCCCAAAAAGAGCTGAGTGAGACTAGCAAGATAGCTGAGCAGGTGTAAGTGCTTGATGCCCAATCTGACATCCCCAGAAGCTACGGTGGAAGGAGAATATCAACCCCCTCCAGCTGTCCCCTGACCTCAGGGCTTAGGCTGTGTGCATGATGAGCGCTTGAACACAGTAAATAAGACATGGACATCCACCTCCGGCCTCTGCATGTGCATATATGGACAAGCACGCTCTCTCTCTCTCACACACACACATACATACACAGTAAACAAATGAGTAAATAGAAACGTGAAATAAAAACTCAGCCCAGAACCATGAAGGAGGAAGCCTGCAAGGTCAGGGTGGGGACAGGATGCTTGACTGTGGAAGCAGAAGCTGACGAGGGAAGACAAGACTCATCTCTGAACAGGCCTCCTGGCAGGGAGTAGACGGTGTTCAAGGTCCAAGGGACAAGTGAACCCAGGCAGAGAGAAGAGGAGGGTTGCGAAGTTAGGCTGGCTAACTAGCTAGTTGTCATGGAGCAATTGTGCAAGAAAAAAAAAAAAACCCAGGAAGCATTTGATAAAGCCCAGGAAATGTCTGCAAAGAAAAGAGAATATGATGAACCCAACTAATTAGATGAGCTAAGGATGCATAACAATGATGGCTTGTGATAGCAAATGTATTTAATGAATTTTAACAAATTAACTCAATTTAAAATCATTTCATCTCTTTGTGGAAAGTGTCTTAGCAGAGTGCCTAAACATTACTTGAATCAGAGCTGTGCTTGCCAAACAGTCTGCTTTTCTACGCGGAACGATGCTTGCTAGACTTGTCTCAAATTCATCTGACACAGTGGAGCAGCTAGACTTGTGCCTGGCTCAAGTCGCTGCCCCCACAGTAGCTTAGCAGCCTTCTGTCAAGCTCGCAGCAGAGGTCCATGCTCTTCTCTTTATGGATGAGCAGAGAGATTCATGAAGCTTAAGGAAGACAACTGATGTGGGAAAGACAGCCTCATCTTCGCCTTGACCTGGCACTTCCTCCATCCCACATCCTGTCCTCTTAAATAGTTTGAAGTAATTAAGTTTCTTTAAACGTGCTTTTAGCCCCCATGGAAATGCAAAGAAAACGTCAGAAAGATATGTGAGGCATTAATTACTCAAATCCGACTGAGAGTGTGGGGAGGGGGCTGTTTCTATGAATGAATGCACTTCATTAATTCTTTCCTCCAGCTCCTTGCTGTTTCCCAGCTATAATCTATTTTTTCTCATCCCAGGGGCAATAAAAGGACAACAAAAGAAGGATTCAGTGATTTGAGATTCCAGAACTTCTCTCTGCTGAAAAATAGGTCAGAACGTTTACTTATTTATTATTAGAGAAGCGGAAGTTTTAGTTCTGTGACAGGTGAACTGACCATCAAACATACACAGAGATAGACACACATACGAAATAACACAGAGACACACATTCACACACAGTGCCACACAAAGAGAAACTCACACATACATACATACTCACACAGAAAGACTTATACACATATACTCACAGAGAGAGACTCAAATACACAGACTCATACACACAGACTCATACACACACACACACACACACACACACAGAGCTACTCAAATACACACAGACTCATAAATACATACACATACTCACAGAGAGAGACTCATAAACACAGAGACTAATGCACACACACATATGCACAGATTCACACATACACACACACATACACACTGACTCATATACCCACATACTCACAGAGAGAGAGAGAGACTCAAATACACACAGACTCACACACACACACACACAGTCTCATGCACACACACATTACAATGTTCTTCTCATTGGCTTGCTTCACAAAGGTGAAGAAAGGATTTGAGGTAGGCTGACCAGACAACTAGTATGTGACACACACCTTGGCTGATGGGGCCCTGGTCTCCACAACTTTGCTGGCCGGGGTTCTTCTACAGTCCACCCAAGTCTCTAGACAGCCCAAGAGAGACACTTTAGGGATCATCTGTCCCTCTGCCCCTGAGTGACTGCAACAAGGGGTCATGCTGTCCCTCTGCCCTCAAGTGACTGAAATAATGGGTTGTGGACTCTAACACTGAAACCTGGTGCTTGGAACACGTAATTCACCCAAGTCCGCCAGAGGTGGTCTCTCTGCCCAGCAGTACCCAAGTCCTCCAGAGGTGGTCTCTCTGCCCACCAGCACCTAGGTCCTCCAGAGGTGGTCTCTCTGCCGAGCAGCATGCCAGGTCTCCTTATCTATCAAGTGTTGGCACCCCTCACCTAGTTCAAGTCAATCCCTGTGCCCTCCAGGTCCAACCATGTGCCACCCTGCCGCAGCTCTGAGACCCTAAGGCACCCTGAAGCACATGAACTTCCTCTGTACAGTGAACAAATGTCCTCAAGACAGAATAGACAAGTTGTTTTTCACAAACATTTTAAGAAAAGGGAAATTTGTAGCTGTGCTCAGACTTCTTTAATGTTTATATTACACACATTTGAATAATGCATTTGAAGTCTGTTTTTCCTATTTCTTGACAAAAGCAAGAGCTGAGAAATGGAAGGGTTAGAAGCCTTCCTTCCAAGAGAGAGCGTTGAAGCGATTACATACATCAAAGTAATATTTACAGTTACATTTTGGGGGGAAAAGACAGAGGAGAGGAGTGTTGTTTTTTTTCTTTTTTTTTTTCAGAAGCAAATTATTTCAGGATGTGTCATAGCACGCTCAAGATATATTAAAAAGAGCAACTGATGATGCTTCCGCAACCTGTTCCAGGCCATTTATAAACCAATTTTTTAAAATTCTCATATTCACACAAATCTCTGTATCACTGCATATTTTATAATGAAAGCATTATATGAATATAAATTAGTTTTTGAGATATATAAATCAAATTAAAATGTCTGAAAATGACATATTTTGGTCCACTCTCTTACTTTAGTATCTGTTAAACCAACATGTTCATTTCCCATAAAACGGCAATCACTGGCATTGAGCAGGGGAGGAGAGGGGAAGCTGCCGATGGGCAGGGTCACCGTGCATATAGAGTCGTCCGGGCCTGAGCTGAAATCTCAGCCAACTTGCTAACTGATGCTGCGGCTTCCAGCAGCTGTCTCCAGCTGTGGACTTTCGAAATGTTATCTGGGAAAAGTTGATTCTCCTTTGTGGATGAATCCCTTTCACTCAAGACTTTGTGATATTTGGAGAGTGAATCCATGGTCTCTGTACTATTCCTGGATCGTAGCAGATTCTCAATAAGTAATAGTCAGGGGGTATTCAATAAACGCTAGGTTGCACCTAAAGCACTTATTAAGTAGCTCTGAGCTCTGCCAATCATCTTCTCAGTCTGCCATTCAAGGGTGAGAAGACTGAAAAATCCTCCCTGAGGCTACCCAGCTAGTTGTAACATGATAAACGGCAGAGCCATCTGTATTAATAAGATAGAAAACAGCCCTGGTGCTCACCTCTTGCTGCTTGCACGTCGTTGAGCATGGGCATTAACTCTCCACCCTTCTTCAAGGTCTTGCTAAGGTACATTGTCTACCCACAGTGCTAAGGTAAGAGAGCCCTGCAACCTTTCCAAGTATTTACCTGGCTACATTGACAACAACCCTTTCTCTTGTGTGTAATTTCCTATGAACACAGATGCAGAAACACTGGTGAGTGCCACACTCCATCAGTATCTGGCACTAGCACGCACCAGATATCCCAAGAATGTGTGTAAATACAACATTCACAAGTTTGATCTGAAATAGATATCTTTATTACATGGCAGGAGAGAAGCAGACCCTATGGGGGCTCAGGGACTTAGGATCTGTTGGTCAACCAAAGGTCTAACCACATCCAGACTCCAACAAGAAGCAGGCCCAATATCCAATCCCTGCTTCATTTTCCACATTTGCATCCCCCTTTCCTACCCCAATCTTGTAGCAATAGTTCTCCAGGGGACAAGGTGCAAATGGCTGACTCCCAGTGCCTAGAAGGGGCAGTCCTCACCCGTAGGAAACAGGAGCCACTTCTATTCTATGCACTAGGATGCCCTCTGCTGGGCCCCTGAGACCATGTAGGAATGGGAGCCGGCTAGCACTGTTGTGGGTCTGCTCCCCCAGACTCTGGCTTTCTCTTGTGCTACACAGCTGCTCGAGGATGTCATAGCACTGAGAGATCCCAGGGCTCATCACTGCCACCACTCCACTGTACAGACATCAGGCAAGAGCTCTCGCTAGCAAAACCTTCACTGTACATCCAGTACACTCTCAGAATATGCAAACCCCCACTGGGGTCGGCTAGCTTTTCTCAGGGCCACAACAGGCTCTTAGTTGTTGTTGCCAGATAAACATCTGAGGAAAGGGACAAAGGAAATGTAGATAAAGCCAAGACCCATGGCGGCTTAATAGTGCTGATAACCCAGGGTGTTGGAGGCGTCACTGTGCCCAGAGTTTTCTACAGTGTCAAGTATCTACTGGATGCTTAAATGGGTGGCAAAAGGAACTCTGACTTGGGAACACAAATGGCAGGGAGGAATGTGGGAATGGAAGGCAGAGGCCAAGCAGGGAGGGCCAAAGAGAGGTGACAAGGATTCCTAGCTCTTCAGTTCACCGAAACAATGTCCCAGCTATAGTGGGTGTGACAAGCCATCCTGGTGGTCTGACTCGCCTGCTGTGGTATCCATCCAGGTGATTAGCTTCATCTTCAGCTTTCAGCCTTTGCTACAGACATTCTCTGCTTACCTGAAGAGGACTGTCACCCTCGAGGACATGCTCTGTCCTCAGAAGTTCATCAGTAGAATGAGCGTGTGACTAACCCCATGTAGCTTTCCAGCCCCTCAGAGAGGCATGGCTAGAGGAAGAAGTTGCCCAAGACCTGGAGGAGGGGTTGTCCAGATGCTTCCTAGGGGAAGGAAAGCTCACGGAGGTATGTGTGGTCCCGAACACGGGGACTTCTCTAGGCATTTGCCCCAAACTATGTTCACCAATGGACCAGATGAAAGATTCTGGAATCGAGTAGTGTTGAGTGTGTGAATGTATCAAAATAACCACAGAGACGTACAGTTGTTCCGTATAAGAGAGGAAGGTTCTGGAAACTCACCGGGGAAGTCTTTAAGATTTTATTAAATAGGAAACTGAGATGATTTCAACATGAACGAATTTAAATCGGCTTCCAAGTATCAGGAGATGGAAAGACTTCCCCAGTCTCTATTCCAGTGAAAATAGAGACCTCCCCTTCCAAAAGAATTCAGATGCTTTTTGTAAGGAAGGGTCCTGCTATGTTTGGATACTCAATTGGCCTTGTTAGGGTAGGATATGGCCTGCAAAGCATCCCTAGGCCTACATCTCATGAGGTGTTCATGATCCGTACTTCCCTGAACATGTGCATGTTGGATGCATTCTCTCACCCATCTCCTTCCTCTTGCTCATTCACCAACATGCTGGTGCATACGTGCCAAGCTCCAGGCACCATATGAAGTGCCCATCTCCTTTTAGGGTCCACTGTAGTTAGTCTGAGAATTCAAGATGGGATCTAGTCCGGATGTGTGGTTGAATTCAATCAAATAAGGGTAAGGTATATGTACAAGCAATAAAGGAGATTTTGTGGTCACTTGGCAAATAAGGAAGACACTCACATGCTCCCCCGACACGTTGCTGGAAAGCCCAGTTGGCCCCTTTTCAACCAATCCTGTGTGTTCCTTTATTACCTTCCTGAGACACAGTTCTGCACGTCTTCGTCATGCCCAATGCTCTGCTATACCTCAAGTCACGCTAGCCTGCTAGCGGAACCTTGCAGGTTCTCTACCCGCAGAGCACACTGCGTGTGTCCAAACCTCAGCCACACAATTTTCTAGTCACACCAGCCTGCTAACTGAGCCCTTCAGGTTCTCTACCCGCAGAGCACGCTGTGTGTGTCCAAACCTTAGCCCCCCAAAGTTCTCCAGTGGGAACTTTTCCTCTGAATGGAGAATCACCAGGCTGGGTGTGTGAAGCATCGTACCTTTGACTCCCAGGAAAACTACCCAGTCATCCACCAGTGAAATAAAAGGAATTGCAAATATCTTTACTGCCCCATTTGACACAGCGTTCTATAAGAGCCCAGGTGTGGGGACAAAGATACTGTTCCCCAGTGCAAGGTTTGTGTGAGATCCTTTTTGTAACATGCTCGGTTCCTACTGCAGTTATTCAAGTGAAGAGGGGGAGGTACCAAACTTAGAAACCCATGTTCTCCTTCACGTCTCTCTGCATTTAAAATGAGTTGAGTAACTCCTAAATATATCAATTGTCTTTCAAAAGCTACAGAATTTTATTCTGGAGTAACCTTCCAGTTTCGTGAATAGTGCTTGGATAAGTTGTAAAGTTCCAGTCGGTCACACTTGGAAGCTTGGGAAATGAAGAGGCCTGGTGACGTCAGATCACATGGATCATGTCCCTGGGTTTGCTGCCAAATTCCGGGGGATGATGAGTTATTAGTCTCTGTTCAGGAGCTCGACCCTGGAGGCAGGGCTGGGTCCTATAAAGATGGGACCCAGATAACACACCAGCGACACTGTGTTCCCGTGGATAGGAAGGACACAGCAACACACTGTCTACATCATCACATCCAGTGCGCTAGGCAGCAGGAGAAGTGGGGGAGGGGAGAGCTTGTTTCAGTATCCTTTAAAAATTAAAGCTCATTAAATGCATTAAATTATTTAAAAGAATTAAAACTTCAAAAATAATTCCAGATTTAAAATCTATCTACAGTGAGATTGCATATCAGAAAACCACAGACATGGGAGGGCCAACCTTGACCAGTCTATAGTTCGTGGATCTGTCTGTCATGGTGATGACACCTGCCACAGCCACAGCCACCGGAAATGCCAAGGAAGGAAACCCTGCTTCCTTCAGGCCCAGATGTGGAAGGGAGCCTGGAGTCTAAAGGCAGAGGATGCTGCCAATCTTGCGCTCTATCCAGCTGCGGCCCATTTGCACATGACTATGTTATTGATGCTGTCGACAAAAGGAAGCCAGGATGCATCTTGTGATTCCCTGGCAAGGGGCAGCTTGCTAACAGGCCGGCCTCACTGGAGCACCGGCAGAGCACATCAAATCCCCGTGAAGTCAGCTAGCGGCAGCTTTCATTCGTCACCATGGGCTGTCAGGCTGCAAAGAGCGTTAACACGGGAGCCTTTCCCGAGAGCTCGGCAGCTGCCAGTGTCAGGATGATGTCCACACTCCATCTAGACAAACCCACAGTGCCCAGCCTCCCTCTTCCTCCATCCCGGGCAACAGTGCCAGCCTCCCCACCCCCAAGTCATTTCTCCAGCTCTCTGGATCATAGCAGCAGACTCAGCTGGGATAACAGCCCTCTTCCCTGCTTTGCTGAGGCTTCCTTGGCTAGTTCACAGGCCTGCATTGACGCACAGAAAGCCCCTAGGGTGCAGAATCCCCGAGGACATGACATATGAACACCCGACCATCCTTTCGGGGCCCCGCCCAGAGAGAAGCAAAGAAGCCACCTTCAGACAGCCTTGGCAATAGGGAGGAGGCTTCCAGATGCACAGCCCTCTGCAAGCTGTGCCGCTGCTCTAGGCTTGTGAATAACAAGGAACTCAGAGGGGAAACCTGACTCTGGCAATCGCTTGTTGTGCCACTCTAGGCCGGTTAAGTTTTAGTTACATCTGCAGAGGGGAAGACAGAGATGCAGTTGGCTACAACGGATGCCAGAACCCGGGGTCTGGTGCCTACAAACAGCTCCTCTGCCCTTGTGTATTACTATTACTTGCGGATAGCATAAAAAACACATGACGTGTGATCAGCTCCCGAACCTCCAGCTGTGCACACGGTGCCGTTAACTATGGGCGCGCGGCGGCCACTCGATCATCTCAAAGACCTGTTTTCTCGTAAAAAGCCAAAACACTGTGCCCTTGAATGCCCCATCCTTCTCCTGTCCCTGGCAGCCTCCCTTCCACTCCGTGTCAGGGTAACAGCGATGCTGGAGAGTATCTGTCTCTTCGCGGCATCTATACAGTGACATCTATGGCTTTCTGTAAGTCAAAAATAAAAGTAGGAGCCGGGCTGTCACATAGCTCTAATGCCGGTACCCGGGAAGCGAAAACAGGAGGATTGTACAGAGTTCAAAGCAAGGCCAGCCTGGGCCATGGAGAGACCTTGTCTCAAAAAAAAAAAAAAAAATCTGTTAAATAATCAATCCATAAATGTAAAATAAAACATTGCTTTTGCAGGGCACAGAAATTGAGTAGGTAAATGTAAATAGGTCAAACTCTGCTGGAAAGAGTGGAGCCAGGTCAGTGCCCAGACCTGTGTTCAATGGGGTTTTTTTTTATCATCTTTTGTTCAACTCACTGTGTGCCAAAGGGCCTCCGCCAAGGGTCTGAGGAGAGGGAAATCCCTACCCCAGTCCAGGCCTCAGCTTTCCTGTCCAACTAGCAAATCAGACTATGTGATCTCCAGTGTTGCATTCTAAAGGACTGGGGGGGGGGGGGGGCAAGTCAGTGAAATCAAAAGTCAGAGTCCTCCCTAGGACCCGCAGAAACTTCTCGTGGGGGTCAGAAGACCAAGGTGCACACCTACATCTGACCCACTTTGGAATCCCTATGTGGAGTCCCTGGGATACTTGCTCATTCATAATGAGCTCACTGTACAGTCTCAGGATCTTGTCCTATTGCACACGTCGTAAGTTGCACGTCTGGGGGCCTTGTGAGGCCTAATGAAAGGCCAGGATGTCATGGAGACCATGTGTCCAGGGTGACAGAAGAGTGCTCACACACCCTCTCCCCGGTAGGATTTGCTTCTCACCACGTAATGTACTATTAGTTTCTGCTGGAGCTCAGGCAACTTGAAAGGGTACCAGCTGCTAACCACAGGGCTCCAGGCTGCAGATGCACTGTGGCTCCCAAGTGAGACTCACCACACCCCATCGGCCTGGGTAGGGAGAGCAGGCTGGAGAGAAAGCAGAGCTTGAGGTAATTCCCCTGCCTCCCAGTGACTGGCTGGATCGGGCTGTTTGCACAGCCCTGTGCCCTGCTCCTTGTGTGGGAAGACAACAGTTCCCCAAGGTCATTTGGACGATGAAGTTAGGGAAGGGATGGCATCAGAAAAGGCAGGAATCTGGACTCTTGAGCTCTGGTCTCCTGGTTACTGATGCTTCGTTGCTTAACTATTGTGTGCCCAGTGTCCCAGCCACCAGACAGGCCTCATAAATATTTACACGCAGTGTGTGTTGCGATGCTCAATTAGTTGCAGCTGTGACGCACTTCGAGCGCCTCGGAGGAAAGGTGTGCGTAGAGAGGCAGGGGTTATTAAATGCACAAACAAGTCAGCTTGCGGAAGCAGCAGTCTTTGGAGCTTTCCATTGCCCTGGGGCTTTTCAGACCAGAGCCCAAATCTAGGGAAAGGTTGCTCCCAAGGGGACGCTGTCCAAGGGTGACATTTGTGACTATGCCAAGAACTTTTCGTCAGAACATGAACAGTGACACGCACACGGGATTTACCAAGGAGGAAATGCGTGTAATGATTCAAACTCCTTAGCTGTCTCAGAAGTGAAACAGGTGCCCTGAGGATCGAGTGTCAAGTAGATAAAGCAGAGTTGGAAGGAGGATCCCAGTGGGGAGACACAGTGGGTGGCCGCTTCCCGTCCAGTGGCTAAGAATGTATGTTAATAGGAATCAATACAACGCATCCAGAAAGCATCAGAGAAAGGCGCCACCAGGGCCTGCGGATGCCCGCACTACTCGGCGCTTCCCTTTGCCGAGATTATTGTCTGTCCGTGAAGATATTCAGAGATGGCACTAAGATGCTAGAATGGATGGGTTTTGCAATCTTGTTTACAGTCATCAAAATTAGCAAGAGCCTAAATCTGCTCCAAAAGTGCCACACAGCCCCCAAATGTGTTTTTCAAAGACACTGCATAATGAAGTGTCACAGTGACATCCCCCACACGCTGATACAAAGACGTTTAAACACCTATGTATCTTAACGTGGGCCTGTGGGCCTGCAAGACTGTTCAGCGGGTAAGAGCGCCGATGCAATCCCAACGACTTGGGGTCCGTGTCTGTAAGCCACCAAAAAAGCCTAGTGCTGGGACAGGCATCTATAATCGCAGCCCTCCTAAGGGGAGTGAGATGAGAGGTGGAAACAGGGGCATTGCCTGGCAGCTCACAGGATGAGCTGTCATGGAATATGAAGTACAGAAATGAGAGGCCTTGCCTCAGCAGGGTGGGAGCAGAGAACCAAGCCCAAAGAGCTGTCTTCTGACCTCCACATGTGTGCCATGACACGAGAACAACCACGCACACACATACATGCGCGCACGCACTCACATATATGCGAGTGCATGCACACACGTACATGATGATACGTTGTTTTGATTTTTAATGCGTGCATGCGTCCTCATTGCACACACATACACATACGAACACAGTGATGACTCTTGTTGTCTATGTTCTATCTCCTATATTGCTGCTAACAAAGCATTACTTCAAGCCTGCAGTCATACAAGCACAAAGGATCTGCTTCCTGTTTGTATTCCACAGGCTAGGGCTTGGTGGGTAATTGCTCAGAAGGTAAAGAACTTACTTTGCAAGGATAGGACTTGAGTTCCATCCCACATAAAGATAGATAGATAGAGCACTGGGGAGGTGGAAACAAGACAACCCCCGGGGCTCACTAACCAGCCCAGCATCCATGGTGTGCTCTGGCCCAGTGACAGACCCTGTCTTGAAATGTCAAGGTGGACCACACCTGAAGAGCAAACTGAGCTGTCCTTTGACCTCGACATGCATGCTTACCCATGTGCACACATCCATACGCACGTGAAGTTATATATGCATGGACACTCACACCTGTGCATCTGCACAGATATGACTATGCACGTGCAGTATTCACAGGATGAATGGTGAAATGCATCTTGGGAGTGCCCTCTACTGTGGAGACAGTGAGGAATTCAGTAGCTGACACTCACGATTGTTCTCTTTTCTGCCCTAGGTCATGGCTGCGCCTCAGCAGTACCAAAGGTGAGTCATGGGTTCTGTGTCCTCTAAGTGATGAGCTAGCCTGGCCTATTGGACTTTCCTTTCTATTCCTTTCTGGCATTTTTTCTTTGTTGCACATGTGAAGGAGCAATGACTGCCTCTCTCTGCACAGCCCTGATGCCAGGGCCTCAGTGGAGAACACTCAGACAGCAGGGGTCCTTCACGCGGGTGGCTGATGTTTGGACCTGGACATCTGGAAGTCTAGACCCCTTGACATGGGCTGGGCTTGTCAAAAACAGATAGCAGGGTTTTAAGAGAGAATGCATTCCAGGAAGGAAAGCTCACAAAAGAGCAACTTGGGGAACCAGGACAAGAGCCTTCTTGTGGTCTAGCCTCAGACATCCAGAGCATCGTTCCCAGTGTAGCTCTGGATTAAGGCAAGTCATTAGCCTAGATTTCAGAAGGTGGATTCATCCAGGAATGCTGTGTTTCCATCACCCAGTATCATGCACCCAGCTTCTGCACCCCTTCCCTCCAGCTGCCCCAGAGCACAGCCGATTAGCCTGCCAGGCCCACAACTCTGCAGATATGTGGGGATCCTGGGGCCCCCCTCGTTAGTTGTGCAGCCTTGGGCAGAGAGCTGCACTGTGAGCCCGAGTTCCTCCTTCTGTGAAATGGGTAGAGACCTAAACAATTCGCTAGTGCCCAGTTCACTAAACTTTCTATGGTAGGTTTCTAGTGCGTGTGTGTGTGTGTGTGTGTGTGTGTGTGTGTGTGTATGTGTGTGTGTGTGTGTGTGTGTGTGTGTATGGCAGAAAATTGGAAGGTTCTGTAGAACCCCACTAGAAAATAGGACTTGATTGTGAGGATCCAAGCAAGAGAGACAATGAGCAGCGGGCTAGAAGCAGTGTGCAAAGAAGTGCAGGAATCTTGGAGAGTTCGGTGCCCAGCATGGAGAGGTTCCCTGTAGGGCAGCTTCTAGTGTGCACCCTGCACTCGACTTAACACAGGCTGCCATAGAGTAGAATAAAAGCCACAGCACGGCCCCAAAGTGAAGTGTGAGGCTGAACAGTAGCGGATACTCAGTGCTCACCCACCTCCCCTCAATCGCCCCCCCCCCCCCGTAAGTTCCCCTCCAGGCCTGAGTTCTCCAAGGTGGATGCCTCCAACCTGTGGTCTCAAATATACTCTCTACTCTGCACCCTCTCATCTTCTCCCAGCCCCCACTGGAATCCTGGAGGAGATTGAAACACTCCAAGGGACTTTGTCCAGGACAATAAAGCTGGGGGGGTGGGGGGGGGGGGCATCGTTCGCAGTGTGGCTTTTGGTAAAGATGGGAGTTTAACCGCCTTTCAAGGTTAAACAGTTGATTTCCTTCTCCATCCTGGGGCAAGAAGCAGAGAAGAAGGAAGGTGAATAGCCCATCTCATTGACAACCTTCTAGAAATACAAGGGAAAGAAAGAGTTTTAAAAAACCAACTCTGGTTTAAAATGTCCAGGCCTGCCAAGACACAGGTGCATCTACACCCTGCCAAAACTGTACAAAATCACAACATGCCTATCACAGACCACTCCAAGGCCGTCCAAGGCCGACGGAACCCTAACAGACTTGATGTCACTGAGGACATGTGTGAAGGTTGACATCAGAGAGGGGCCATCTCAGGATAGTAACACACTCCTAGGTTCTTTCTGGTGTGGGCGATTTTTCACCAACGGATTTATTGCAAAGGTGGTGGGTCATCCGGGAGACAGAATGCCTTGAGGCCACTTTAGCAGAGAGGAATGGGGAGCCTGCTCAGTCCCATGAAACTGTTGACTGCTTGTTGTGAAAGTGCAGGCAAGAAAACACGGGGCACAATACACACAGGTGTATTGACGCACATCTTGCGGTGTGTGTGTGTGTGTGTGTTTGTGTGTTTGTGTCACACTATGTGCGTAATAAGAGAAGATAAATTAATATACAGCTGTGTTGTATCTCTTGTGTCTCTTTGTATCTCTGTTTCTCTGTATGTTTATTTGTATCTGTCTCCTCTCCCCCTCCCCCTGCCGTGTGCGCGCGCGCGCGTGTGTGTGTGTGTGTGTGTGTGTGGTGTGTGTGTGTGTGTGTGTGTGTGTGTATCTGTAAGTCTATGTGGGTATGTCTATCTGTGCTTGTCAGTGTGGGAGTCTGTATGAATCTCTCTAATTGTATTTGTGCGTCTCAGTGAAGGGTTGTCTGCAATCAAATATTTATATTAGTTGTGTCAGTGAATCAACATTGCTCCTCTTTTGCATATCTGTATCTTATAATTTCTTCCGCAGAAACACACACTTTTATATAGTGGAAATAATCTATCAAAAAATGAATGTTTCACAAATCCTCCAGGCCTGGAAAAGACAGACACTTTCTGGAATGTAATCAATGGGCCAACGTAGCTGTCTCCTCCAGAGGCATGCATGGTGCTATATTATCCAACAATATGAACTTGTGAGTTACCTACTTCTGATGCCTAAGGAATAGACTCTCAGACAACTGACTGCCTTATTTAGAAAGTGTGTCCTCATAGGTTGGGGCGAAGAGGGGCATAAGAAATTAGCTAATTCTATTAAAGAGACAAGAAATTTCATTTCTCCAGAAGCATTTGGAATTTTTCCTTCTAGTTTCCTAAGGTAACAGGTATTAAAAGTTGTTACACACACACACACACTTTAAAAAGAAAAAGTAATAAAGATTTTAAGACTAGCAGGCAAACCAAGCTGGTACAAAATATGTGGGCCTCCAGCGACCCCTGCTGGCTAATTCTTGCCATTGCACTAACTGAACTAAATGAACAAGAGGCTGATTCTTCCCAAGGCTTCAGACAGGGACAAAGCAAAGCGGACAGCTGAACTGGAGCGAAACGCTCACCGCACTATTGGAAGCACGCCGCAGTTTTGGATCACCCCGATACTGGCAAACCCAAGGACTAACAATTGCCTTCAAACTGCAGTAGAAGCCCACAAAATTTACAGCCTACCCCAGGGCTTACCCTTTGGCTGACCTTTGCTGAAGCCAAGGAAGCATTCTTTTTAAGAAGATAATTCCAATGCAGGTAGTTCCAGAATGTTCTTTAGAGAGTCTCTTGCTGAGACAAATAAAGAGAGCTCCAAGTATCCAGACCGTCCCCACCTGGAGGCTTCTGCTGGTGGTCTAGACAACCACTGTGTTAGTCTGGGGTTTCTGCTGAGCTCTGAGGAATGGAGGAGGGGCTGCCTCTCCTTCGCCACCTCTTGCCTCAGCTGTCATCCAGCCAGCCCGTTTACCCCCGGTTCCTAATGTGGCAGCCGTAATAACGGAGTAGTGAAACATTGAAGTCTGACAGACCCACTGAGCATGTGCATCACAGAGGAAGAGATGGAAACCTAGAAAAGGGGGTGACTTTCCAGGGGTCACTGGGTGAGGGCTTTAGGCCTGTGCTCTAGCTCCTCCTGAGCGTTGCCTCTCACTGTCTGAGACGGAATTGACAGCTCATGGCATCAAGGCGAGGAGCTGTGCGTCAGCAACCGAAACTGGGAGCCCCAGAAAGTCACAGGCCTCTCTCCTTGCCTTTCCCTAGTGTGTGCCAGACATCCTATAACCTTGTCTGGCTTACCTGTCGGGCTGGCTTTATTATTCTCATATATAAATAAGAATAACTGGGCCCAAGAGAAATTAGATACACTGGCAATAAGGCAGTAGAGTCGAGCTCAAATCCACTGTAATATGCTGTGAAGCAGACAACTTTGGCCTTGGTCCTTCGTCCGTTAAAAAAGGGATCACCAGATGTTAGCAGCTGCTAGGTCCCTGAGCATCCCAGCTGAGGAGGACCTTGCTTGAGGAATTTCCGTGGAAGATCAGCATTTGGATGTCAGTGGAACCGAACACTAGAAAAGCCACACCTAACTTTCAAATAAGCACTGGAGGGAGCGAGCTCCCACGCTGGAGCTGAAGGCAGAGCTGTAGGCTTGGACTGAGCAAAAAAAGGCAGGGCTATGAAGCTGTGAAAAGACAAACACATTACACATTGTTCGAGGGCACTGAGCCAAGAAATCACACACTCCCTGGAAGCTGTGATTTCTACCTTGAAAACGCAGACAGAAATTCCTCAGCGGCTATTTAGGATACATCCTGCCGAACCCTTCCAAAGAGTAACATCCATTAGCTAAGGTTCTAACTGAGGGCATTTGCCTGAGCCCATGAGGTCAGAAAGTGATAGGCCAGGATTTGAACCTAGAACATCCTGTTAGTCTCTAAGAAATGTGTTTGCCTCTCTCCCAGCTTTGGTTAGTGACGTTGCTGTGTCTGGCAAGCTCCAAAGCTCCCGTCTCCAAGGAGCAGAAACGTTAAAGGCTGCAAGGCAAGTAAAGACTTCACGGAGGCTCAACCAGGAGAAATACTTGCTATATATTTTTTTTTCTTACATAAGGCAAATCTAGAAATAACCTGCCTAAGGCCTGTAGCTTCTTGGCTTCTGAGAGATCCTCGAATACCCAAACATTTTCCCTGTCTTATTGCTCCCTCGATTGTGTTGGCCTCAATCTCATAGCCCACGGTAATGACGCCTGTGCACCACACAGCAGGAGGAAGACAGTCAAGTGAGTCACGACTAAGGAAAGGATCCTGGCAGCTGTGAGTTGATTCTCTGCCTAGATTCCACGGACCAGAACTTGGACTTGTGGTCACAGACAGCACTGCTTGGCCAGAAACCCAACAGACCTCGAGTGGTGCATGGATCCAGGAGAATGCCCAGATGTCTTTGCTGTGGCACATCCAGAGACTGACAACAGGCAACCTCTGAGCCTTCAGTTTTCAGTATGTATTTGGTGATGTCTAACTAGTAGTCTGTGGCTCTGGAGTCAAGCCGAAGCAGGACACCTCCGTCTCTGCTCCATTCCCCTGAGGCTCCTGTAACAGAAATGAAAATGGAAGCTGGTTTTGTACCGAGAACCTTCCTGAGACCTGGTAACTGGCCCTGCTTCCTGAGGGAAGGAACAGCTCTAAAACTCCATGGGTCTCCCGTTGTATTTGCCTTCTCACGTAACACAAGCATATCCTTGTCCTGTGACCTGCTCGTGATATCCTCAAAAGTAGCTATCTCCGTGGAAACCCACCAGGAAAACTTACAAGATGAGCCAGTCATGCACACTGGAGACCCGTGCTCCTAGGGTCTCAGTCTCTGTGTCCGGCTTGAAGGACCGTCTGACGTTATGAAAAGACAATAACTTCTCCATCTCTGATTCTCGAAGTTCAAATTGAATAGAAACTTATATAAAAAGTAGATAAAACTCCTCGAATTTATGGAGGGCCCCACCTTTGCTCAACCTCACCTCCTTTCTCTCCTCTCATATCTCATTGTTTAAGCAGGTGAGAGGAGTCAGGTGCCATGAGCAGGGGACCTGACCCTGAAAGATGTTGGCCATGTGGTGTCATCATCCTTGGCTCTGCTTCTGGAAGCAAGAGGACAGTCAAGGACATTGATGGCTGTAGGGCTGGAGTCTTTGCTGTCTATTGGCCCCAGAGAGCTAAGCTTTATATCACATAAGTCCATCTTCACATCTCTCTTAAGAGTAACTTACAAAGAAATGTTCTTTGTAAAAAAAAAAAAAAAAAGACATCTCCCTTGAACAACACACAGAAGCCAGGTGTTCCCTGGAGCCAATCAGGGTCTGTGGGTGATGAGTGACTCCCCAGATCCTCATGACGCACCTCACCATTTGGGAGTTGATATGGAAGATTATTAAGGAACTTACTTTCTCTGTTTTCCGCTCTTCTATAAGGCCAGGTATGTTAGTTTTTCACCACTGTGAAAAAAATACCTGAGACGATTAACATAAGAGGAGAAAGATTTGTTCAGGGTCATGGTTTCAGAGATTTCAATACATGGTCAGTTGTCTCTGTTGCTCTAGACCTGTGGTGAAAAGGGGTGATGGATGAGAAGGACCATCATGACAAGGATGATGGGTGAGAAGGACATGGCAGGGATGATGTCTCAGGAAGATTGTATCACCCCTCACTAGAACCATAGGCACTCCAGGGTCTACACCACAGCATCAGTCAATACTTGCGTTCCATGGAGAATGAACCATCGCAGTGGAAATGTGGGACCTGGCTAGGGAAAGGGTCAAGTTCAAGCTGATTTAGTGATGGAGGAGGCCATGATCTGTTGACTTGAGATCCTGGAAGTCTGTCGCTGGTCCCATTCTGGGGGTATTGCCACTGAGCCACATGTCGTAGATGAAATGATTCTTCTTGTGGTGCGTACTTACCACATACCACCAGTCTCTGTAACATGCTGAGCTATAGTGTTGTCAAAGGGCAGTCTCCATGGTCTGTGACTGTAAATGTATCCACAAGCTTGGATGTTACGGGGAAACATAAAACAATGTGTTAATTAGGCAGCACTCACATCAATAATGAATGGACCACAAATGCCAGGTGTGAGATAAAAACAAGGCAGCTCTCTTGCTGATTCTCCAATCTGATGTGAATGCACCTTTACACCTCTTCCAAGACACCTCAGGACCCTGGGGCCTTCTGCCCCTGTCTCTGCCACTAGCTGAGACAACACTGCTGTATGCGGGCCCAGCAGACCATAGCCAGTCTCGGTGACATCTGTCTCACTCTCCGAACCCCAGGGACACAACCCATAGCACGCCTGACCAGAGCCGAGACAGCTGGGAAGTGCACCCCAGTTGAGCACTGGAAATAGAAATGGGGCATGGTGAGTCTACAGAGTCACCCCACTGCCAGACAAGGTTCGGGGAGGGGGAGGGAATCAGAGTGGAACTATGCTCCTTGGCTCAACAGTTGAGGTTGGTGGCCAGAAATGTCACCAAGGGAGATAATATTCTAAGTGGGATCTGAGGACCAGAAAGGATATAGGCACAGGCAAAGCTGGGGGGACTATTCTAGAGAGACGAGATGCACAGTGTCTTGGAGGCAGAAGAGCATGGCGTGCTATAGGGACTCATAAATAGTTTGATGTGCGGAGTCTGGAGGGAAGAAAGCGAAAAAAGCTTTAGAGACATCTTTAAAGAAGCAATCGCTGACTGTTTCCACCATTAGGTCAGAAAGGGGGTGTGCAGTAGGGAGAGTGTGGCTCAGTCTGAATCCACCAAAGAAAAGTGGGAATTCACAGCCCAGGCTCAGGGTGGGACCATGGGTGGAAAATTACTAAGAAACATAGGGGATAAAAAGTGACCTAATGGAATTCTTACTGCAGGCAAGCCAGGGAAAGAGATGCTACCTGCGGGATGGGACAAGATGTGGATCCCAGCTAGGTATGATTGGTGATGAGACGGGAGGGGGTCTCTGCCTAAACAGACTTGGTAGGGTTTTTGCTAAAAAAAAAATCAGACTATGAAGAGACAAGCAGGGAAGCCAAAAATGTGGGCCCAACCTGAGGCAGAGCTCTGAAGAGCTAACCTGGGCTTTCAGTCGGGAGAGAATTTTAGTGTTCTGGTTAGTTTCTTGTCAGCTTGACATAAACTAGAATCATCAGGGAGGAGGGAACCATGATGAGGAAATGCCTCCATCAGATTGGCCTGTAGGCAAGTCTGTAGTGCATTTTCTTGGTTAATGATTGGTGAGAGGTCAGCCCACTCTGGGCAATGCCGCCCCTAGGCAGCTAGTCCTGGAGGTGTAAGAAAGGTAGCTCAGCATGAGGCTAGCAGCAAGTCAGCAAGCCAGCCTCTGCTACAAATGCAGCCTTCTGGTTCTGACCTTGAGTTCCCTTCACAAGGGAATAGAAGCTGCCAAATGAACTAAAACATTTCCTCCCCCAAGTAGGTTTTGGTCAGTGTTTATCACAACAACAGAGTAACTAATATTTTTATCCAGAAAGAGCTGAATGGTATGAGAAGGAAAGCAAGGGGTGGGGCTCAAGGGTCTACTCATGGAATCTGAGCTGTCGGTTCAGGGTGACGGGTCATGGATGCATAAAACTATACTTAAAATTATGTATTCAAACTCTCCCTCGAAGGGAGCACAGAGAGAAAATCTGGGACATGGACACAAGTCCATCTTCCCCAGGTAAGACAGGCAGACTCACAACGAACAAGTCAGTGACTGCTGCATCTCTTTGTGTGCATCAGGAAGGAGACAGGGAATGAGTACCCAATGATGCAATGAAATAAATGTGGCCCGGATTGTCCAAGATGGAAGCTCCATGAAGCAGGGACATCAGATGGCAATAGATACTGAATACAAGAAGCTAAGGGTGTGTGAGGGTCCCAGGTGGTTCAGACCCAGGCAGACACAGAGGGGAATGTGGAACACATTTGGGAGACCCAGGAACCCTGGGCCTTGGTAGAAGTGAGACCCCCCCACAGTCCTCTCTGGGGACAGTGATGTGGTAGCCACACCCAAGAAGTTCTAACCTAGCAGCCAAGAGCAAAGGGAACCACATGCACTCTTAGAAGCAATGCTTGCCATCAAACGAAAGTGAACACATCGTTAAGAAGCTCGCAGTCTCTGGTCCTGAAGCCTAAAGGAAGCATCTCATATGTGTGCTGATAAAAATAGATGTGAGACAATTATTTTTCTGCCTTCCATTCTTCATCACAGACCAATAACTACAAAAACAGCACATAACTAAGGAACTCTCGGTCTACTAGGAGCCAAAGATTCGTCACTCCTGTGAGCAGTTCTTGGGTGGTTTCGCATAATCTGGAAGTAGATTTTAGAACAGAATACTGAGTGGGCTGCCTGATCTAAGCCGTTTTCATAAACGAGTCCAAATCGGGGAGATGAGAGAAGCCTCCGCTGAACTATACCGGTCTAACAAAAACTCGGTGGCTTGATTTCTAGATGTTGGGAGGTGTGTCTGGCCCTAGGGACAGATACCATGTAGAGACATGAGCTCTGCCCACAAGAGGTTGCAGGCACTGGAGGAGGCAGGTGTCCAGAGCTCTGTAAACGTGTTGTGCTGTGCTGTGTTCTGGTGCCGGGGGGGGGGGGGGGGGGCTCATCCTTAGCCACCCAGTCCTGCCTGACTGCAGGGCAGGGGCGGTGGGGCCTTCTCCCATCACTTCTCCCTTCTGTCCGTTTGTTTGTTGATGCTTGTTTTCTAGTTTGAGTGGGGGAACATTCTTGTGTTTGTGTGCGCGCTCATGTGTGCCGTGGGGATTGCAGGAAGTACACTTGGCTCGTCTTTGCATATGTTCATGTCAAGTGTGTGTGGAGTCAGAGAACACCTCAGAATGCATCCACCACTTTTCTTTGCTTTGCTTTGCTGAGACAGGGTCTCTCACTGGCCTGAAACTCACCAAGCAACCTAGGCTGACAGGCCAGCAAGTCCCGGAGATCAGCTTGTCTCCTGCCCCTGGCATCGGAATTACAAGCGGTCATCACCAAGCACATCTCTCTGTTATACTGATTCTGGGCTCTAAGTCAGCTCTTCAGGTCCGCAAGGGACACCATTTACCGACTGAGCCATCTCCTCAGCCTGGTTTTCTGTTGTTACCGTAATGGTGCAGACTAACCCAGGGCCTTGCCGGTTATGGGCATGCGCTCAATATCCCCAGCCCTTTCTTTCCCAAATCACAGTTTTGTTTCTTGTTACCTAGATTTGCTTTGAGTTCGTGATCCTCCTGCCTCCACCTCCAGCGGGCTAAGATTTCAGGGGTGGCAATTCACACCAGGTATTTCATTCTCTCTGAGAGAAAATGTTGACCTGCCATAGGAAGAGTTTCTTGCCTCCGTAGCCACCCTGGGTTGGGGTCTGATTTCTGTCTCCCATTCCCCACGCTCTGTTCTACCTAATCAATAGCTGGAATGGGAGGTATGAGAAGCACACGGGGGTTACAAAACTAACTTGAAATGAACACAAGATTTGCCCAAGGAAACAGGTTTTGGAGGCTGTGACCTGGCACTGGGCTTGCAGTGACACGTGATTTGTGTTTTCTGGCAGGACGATGTCGGGTGGTCCTCGAACCTCTTCCAGATCATGTGAGTCTGCCGTATTCCTTAGCTGTCAGTCTCTGGTCTTTCCAAAGTAAGTGCTGCTGTTTGGCCTTTCTTTTTCTGTCACCTAATGGAGGAAACATTTCTTCCCCGCGGCGTAATCTCCTGGCGAAAAAAATCACAGTTCGGCCCGCATTCCAATCCTCAAGGTCATTGCTAAAGCAGAGGTAAAAACAGTAATACTCAGTGCTGGTGAGTGTGTCCCAAGACAGGCGCTTTTCAATATTCATGGTGAAATCTTAAGTTGAAATGAACTTTTGGGAAGATAATTTCATGACAATGTTCTCTTAGTAATGTAAAAATATCCTGGTAGGGTTTTTTATTTTGTCTTTTTATGTGTGTGCTTCCTAGAGTTTCAAAGAAAGAAACAGCATTCATTTCAGACCGACATTTCACCAGACTCACTGATATTTTGTAACATGGTTTAAATAACAGCATGTGGAAATCACACTAAACATTTGATAATTTGAAAATTGTTAGATGCTTAAGCATTAGGTGAAGCTGCTAGAATCACTGGCCAGAATCTTTAACAACTGAAGGAAGAGGTTAAAATTTATAACATCAACCCAAATATTATAAAATTTATGTTAAATTATGTATTCAGATAATTTATTTATATAGCTATAGATGATATCTGAAAAACTGTCTTGCTGTTATTTAATGTAAGTCTTTAAATTTTTATTTAAAGCTATGGACTTTAACTCACAAGCACACATGCACGTACACACACACACACACACACACACACACACACACACAAATTTGGTTTTACGTAAGTGACTCATGGGTGAAGAATATGAGACCTGAAGTGAGGGGCTCCTGAGAGTGACGTGTAGGGACAATAAGTAAGAAACAGGTGTGACTGGTTATATTTCAAACCCTAGCCCCCCTCAGTAAATAGAAAACCAAGTTGTTTGTAGTCACCCCTATGACCCGTGAGGTAGATGTCAGAGCACATGCTCTTTATTCCCGAATGACAACAACCATCATCCTCCTTCCTGTCACCCCGTACTCCCATGCACATTAGCCAAAGTACGAAATGGCAAAGTGATGTCAGCTCATGGGGTAGGTTCTTTGAGTGGGTAGCAGGGTCTCCCTGGAAAATGCTAGCCGTCACTGATAGGACACAAAAGGTGCCTTTTCTCAGTGTCCTTCTATACATTGCCCCCGCCATCTGTACCCCCCTCCCCAGACTCATTTCCAGGTGTGACTCTGGAGCCCATGCCCACCATTCCTGCACTCTCAGCTCAGATGCCCTCTGGTCTTCATGCCTGGTTTCACTAAGCTCAGAGCCCTTGGCTCTGTTTTACTCAAGGCATCAACCGGAGAGAGGTTATTTAATGTCCTGGGCCCCTGTCATGGGACAGATGCCAAGAGTCTTAGTGTGTTTACTCAGTCTCCCACCAAATGAGCCGGTTCAATCACCTCCACCTGCCATCAGGAAAATGAAGCATTCTCCCTGCGGTCTAGGACATAGTGGCAACACACCCATGCTGTCACCAATACTCTCCCAACAAAAATGTCCCATCTTCACCCAGTGTTTCTCTGAAGACCCGACAAGAAGGCCAATTTCAGGGTGCTGATGCCCAGACTCCGAAGGACAGCTCCAATGGCACCGTGCGGCTCTTTACCTGGTGGTTCAGCCCCCTCTCCTGTGAGTGAGCAGGCGCTGGTCTTCCACCCTGCTCTGGTTTCAGCATCACGGGATCTGTTAATCCCATCTTGATAACTGGCCCAAGTACTAAGTTCACACACAGCCTGTTGGGTGTTCTTTACAGAGAACTTGTTGGGTATGTGAACTAGCACACTGAAAGGTCAAACTGTTGACTCATCCTGTCTTTAGTTTTTCTGTGGAGAACACAGTTTACAAAACCATGCTCTGCACCCTTGCTCTGAGTCAGATGGGAGCCCAGTGACATCCCCAGATGGGCCTGGCAAGTCTCTTCTGTCCTGTTGCCTCCCTGAGCTCCCCTGAGAGTCCTCTCTACCTTTCCAGAGAGAAGAAAGTCTCTGCAGGCCAAGCTTGCTCCTCCCCTGTTCCCAGCATTCTCTGACATACCAGTCAGAGCAGCAGTGGGAACCTTGACTGACAGGGCGTTTGTGCACGAGTGGTCTTCCTTCCGCAACCCCATCTGATAAACACGTATAGCTGTAATTAATGGCTCTGCTCACCCATAGGAATATGCGTCTGGCCAGCTAACCCAAAAGAAAATTAAACTGAACCCTAACAACTAGACAAATTGCAACATAAATACTTTAAATCACACCCTTAGGAATAATTATGTCCTTGGTCTTATTAAAATCTATGATTTTATTTACCAATCATATATTAGTAATCTACTATAGAAACCACAAATACAGTCAAGGCCATAAAGCAACAACTTCAACTTTGTATTTTTGTTTTAAACCCTTGACTATAAAACATCAAGAGTCCAAAAGGACTTCCTGGGCTGCCCCATCTGTGAAGCAGAAGTCCCTCTGCAGAGTAAGGATCCATGCGCAGGCTAACACTGTCTGTCACCACTGTGCTGAGTCCCCAGTTGTCCCCCTGTGGAATGCCCTGTACTCTCTGCCCTTCATCTCGAGATATAAAATCATTTATAATTCAGGTTCTGGGTCAGGTGGAGGTGTTGAAAGGAGTCAGCCCACCTACAACCTGTGTGGCTCTGGGGAGTTACCAACGTCAGTCTATATTTGTAATATATAGATACGATTTCCTTATTTTGAAACACTGCCTGAGGAATGTGCGTGAAAACACTGTGTCCTCTTGAGTTGCTGGCATCGCGTGGCTGTCCTTAGACCTTTCAGATCACCGTCATTCACAGATGTAATTCCATCCATCCACCTGGATCCCTCCCTTAGAGTCAAACGAAGACTACCATCAGTTGTAGGTAGAGCTGAGCATCCTGGGATCCAGGAAGTAAAAGTGAGTCCTGGTAGTGCCCCATGATGGCTGCCAGGTCCCTGCTTACACAGAGCAGCTTCTGGCTGCAGACCCAACCCAAAGGCACTCAGGCCACTGTGTGCCACTCAGTCAGAATTTATCTGCTGTGCACTGGTTCCCCTTCCTGCCGTCTCCAGGTTTCAACCCAAGACCTAAGAGGAGGACACATGTAAACCCGCTTGGGCTACCCTAACAAAGGGCCATGGCCGAAGTGGCTTGGATCCAGACCATTGCCATTATTTTACCTCAGCCCTGGAAACCAAATCAAGGTGCCAAAGAGTTGCTAAGAACTGTCCCCTATGCAGGTGACTGGAGACATCTCCTGTGTCTTTGCCTGGGACACAGATGTGATGGGGAAGGAGGTTTCATAGAGCTGCTTGTCAAATTTTTTTAAAAGTTTATTTACCTTTATTTCACGTACATTGGTATAACGATGTCAGATTCTCTGGAACTGGAGTTACAGACAGCTGCAAGCTGCCATGTGGGTGCTGGGAATTGAACCCGGGTCCTCTGGAAGAGCAGTCAATGCTCTTAAATCACTGAACCATCTCACCAGCCCCCTGCTTGTCAATTTTTATAAAAATTTCAGTCAGTTTACTGAGGGACGCAGCTTAGATTTTTATAAGAATCCTACTAAATCTGTACCGCAATTTTAAAAGAATTCAATTTTAACAACGTTAAGTCCTCAATCCACAAAGAGTGAACCTCTTCGCATTCATTAAGGTCCTTTTACATGATCTTCAGTAGCATGCCTTCAGTTAAGCGTAAGCTCCCCTTCTGTGGCCTGGTGTTCTCAAGGGTTTAATTCTTGATGTTTTGCTGTCATTGTTTTCCTTTTGTATTTTTAAATTGCTATCTACTGGTAACTTATAGAAAAACTAATTGTTATTACCATTGCATACAAACAAACTGAACTTTGAATGGGACCGACCATGTATCCTGAAACCTTGCTGAACTTTTCGTTAGCTCTAAGCGGTACTCATTTGCAGGGATTCTTGACCTCAGCACGTAATAGCTCGGATACTGACACTCTCCCTTTTCACTTCCTGGGACTCATGAAAACATGGGGCCCGCCCAGATAACCCAGAATCCTCTGTTTTCAAGTCAGTTTATTAGCATCTTATACCTGCCCTGTCCCCTCCCAGCAGAGCAAGATGAGTCTTTGATTGAATGATCAAAGAGCTGTGGATAATTTGGAAGACATCTTTAGGATTCTCTCGATCACAATATCACATTTCCATGTAAGATTCTAATCCCAGAATCTTAACATCTCTGAGAAAGAGTCAGTGTCACTCCCTAAGCCAGCACGGAGACAGGCCCCTTTATCCAGCACGGAGACACGCCCCTTTATCCAGCACGGAGACACGCCCCTTTATTCACATGGCCCCTCCCTCGGACTTACTCCAGTGTTCCACCCACTTAGAGAAGGAACTTGGCTGCAGCCATGGATGAAGGAAAATGCCACAGCGACGACGATGACTATGAAGACCCTGAGCTTCAGCTGCCCAAGGCATGGCCATCGATGAAAATTTTACCAGCCAGACCTATACAGGAATCGGAATATGCAGGTACCCTGGGGGTCTGAAGAGGCGTGTTTGTGTGCAGCATCACACAATGATTACAGGCGCACATTCCAAGACTCAGGTTTTTGTCTGAATCCAGGCTTCCTAGGAGAACTAATCCGAGAGCACCTCTGAGGTTATTATGAGTGACATATGGAGTCAAATTCTGTTCTCGCTTGCTGTCATTGTCAGGCAGGGTCTGCTTGAGTGTTAGGCCTGTCCCCGTGGTGAGAGCATGGGAGAAGTGGCCAGGCAGGAAGATGGGCCTGTGAGACATGAGGTTCGTCTGCATGGTCAGGGAGGGGAGAAAGACAAGGTCGGTTCGCTCTGCAGGTTGCCAGCCTAGGAATGGACCCAGTAGTGACATCCCAGGCACCAGAATGGAGGGAGGTTGGCTTTGTACCCACCCCTGCCTTTTCCCACATAGGACTGAGTCAACGGGTTCTCTTGTCACTCTAAAGGGAAGGAGGAAGCACTCCTGATTTCTGAGGGCCTGGCTCACAGACATGAGTCTGTAGAAATCTCTTTAGGGAGAATTGTCCTAGAAGCTGTGGACAGGTAAGGTGACACACAGCCTTCCACCCTTCCACTTCAGAGGCTGTGGGAGGCCAATTCCAAGTTCGAGGCCTACTTGAGCTGCGTATGAGACCTTGACTCAAAACAGCAACAGCAATAGGGCAATGATCTCCGTGCAATCAGACCCTGTCTGAAACAAAACTAATAAGTGAACAAACAAATAAACAGAAAGAAAAAAAATAAAGTAGGTGGCATAGCATAAATCTTCAGTGGTGGCATCTCTCAGGAGGATAAAAACTGGAGGCTAGTCAAGGCCATCCTTGGTAGGATTACTCTGAACCAAAACGAGCAGGTCTACCTTCACATCCTCCTTGGGCAAGTGCAGGCAGGATCACTAGCATCTTTGAAAGTGGCTTGTCTTGTTTGCGTTGCTGTTGTTTTGGGGTTTTGTTTTTTCTTTCACACTGATCTTTCTGACCACTGGACACACTAGAGAATATCTTCTTCCACAATAGTCCCTTGGGTCATTGTTAATTCTTACTCATTTGTTTTTTGAGACACAGTTTCTCTGTAGAACAGCCCTAACTGTCCTGGAAGTGTAGACCAGGCTGGCCTTGAATTCTCAAAGATCCGCCTGGCCTCTGCCTTCAGAGTACTGGAATTAGAGGCATGCACCACCACCCAGCCCACTGTTAAAAAAAAAACTTTTTTTTTTTTTGTTCTTTGAGACAGGGTTTTTCTGTAGCTTTGGAGCCCATCCTGGAACTAGCTCTTGTAGACCAGGTTGGCCTCAAGCTCACAGAGATCCGCCTGCCTCTGCCTCCCAAGTGTTGGAATTAAAGGTGTGTGTCACCACCACCGTAGCATGTAACATGCTGTAATTAACTTTGCATGTCTTCCATCCCCTCCCTGAACCCCGCCCCCCATAATGAATTGTTTGCCTAGTACCTGCACTGTGATGGCGCCATGAGTGTGAGCACGTGTGAACACGCCACAACCTGCAAAGTGCCGAATCCAGCCTGCTCATAAGGCACAAGCTTACCAGCTTCCTTTCCCCACAGATACACGCTATTTCAAGAATATGATGGAGGCCCCCCTTTTGTTACCCCCCAAGGCTTCTGTCCCCACTGGGAAGCAATCCTGGAATGCAGGGATGAGGCGACAGGAAGAGGTGAGTGAAGGGGGACCCTGGGGACCTGGCATGAAGAGGGTATTACTCAGATCTTCTTCCCTCAGGACCCATGACAGATGGTGAGCAGAGTAGGGCAGACTTGGGGCAGCTAAACAGTGTGACTTACGGGACCGTGGACCTTTGGAGGAGCCTAGAAGGAAAGAAAAGTTACACTTGCTAGAACACTGACTGTGAGCCAGGCATCAGGCTAAAGAAATTATGCCTTACCCAATTATCATTGCATTCTTCAGATCCTCAATTAGAACACGAATCTTTTTATAATAACACATCATTTTACCAAGATTCTCAGCCCAGCACTGTCAGCTATTAAACTGGGCCGTGAGAAGTCTCATGGCCTTCTGAACCTCTGTAAGCTCTGTACAAACCAGACAGGAACATTCTGTGTGTTGGCCTGAAAGGGTATTTAGAGGAACAGCAGACGATTTTATGGAAATAAATTTATGGAAATTAAACAAAAATGCTCTAGATACATATACAGACTTATTTTTAATAAAATGTATCATGACTAATACTCTTAATTTAGATGTCCATAAAGTAAAGACCCACTCTGGATCTGTATGTCATTAGCGATAATATTCCGGTACATCCCAGGTCAGTATTCCCTGTAGAGACGGAATCATACAAGGAACCCTTGTCACATTAACATGCCCAGGCTCCTCTCTTTTCACACTGAGTCCAGTCCTAAAGTGAGCCGCTGTGGTGAGCGAGGGCTCGTCAGCCTAAGCTGCACAGCAGTGCGGTTCCCCACTGCAGAATTTTGACTGCTGTACTCAACACCTGATGAGAATGTTTTTAAGGCGAAAGGCACACACAAAATCATGCCGAAGTGTGGTCTTCCAGAAATTCTACAAAACTGTGTTCAGCTCAAGAAGTCTCAGCAACACTGGAATTCACTGGTGTGGTCGCGGGTTTCTACGGAGGGGACATGGCACTGTCAGATTCTCTTTCCCTGACACCGGTCACCAGTGGACTGGAGTATGCTTCTGCGTGTCTGTCAGCTCTCCCGGGCGGCATGACCACGCTGCTCATTAACCTTGCAGCCGCTCTTGATCGTGACCACACATCAGCCTGTCTTGGGCCGACATGACAGACTATCCACGGGAAACAGGGTGGTTTGTAATGAACCAAATTTATCTCCCCATACTTCTGGAGTCTGGATGTCCAGGATCCAGGTGCCAAAATCAGCAAAGAATCTCTTTCTGCGGCATGACATGGCAGAAGGGGAAAAGATAAGGGAATTATGGGAAGAAAAGAGGGGGGCAGGGAGGAAAGGAGAAAAAAAGAAGCCAGAGTTGCCCTGTTATGAAAAATCCACCTTAGTGATAAAGGACCCTCCATTCGGGCCAGGCTTGGTGGTGCATGCCTTTAACCCCAGAAAAGCCCTGGTCCAATTAGAAGGAATAGAAGGCACTTAGAAAATCGGAGATCTCCTTCCTCAAACTCCCTGGCATGCCTGTACATGCATGTCTTTGCTTGGAGAACATATTCCTAAGGAAAAAATAACCTCATTTGGCTTTTTAAAAGCCATGGCAAGCTGGATACTACACTACACTCCTGTAACGCCAACAGCCTAACAGGAGGACCAACAAGGCCATCCTGAACTCTATAACAAATTTGGGGCTAGCCTGGGTTACGTAAGACCCCCCATCTCAAAACCCAACCATGGCAAGATCTGAGCTTCCTGTCTTAGAGTTCACACCTCCACATTGCCTCAGTTTCTTCTTTCTGACGGGTCTCTTCAAAAGCAGAACCACGATCCCACCAGGTAAATCAACTGAGACGCCTGAGAGGGCAGACAAGGACAAAAGGTCGCCTGGAGGGAAATTCCCTCATAAGTTATGCAAGGCCTTAGCCTCAGTTCAGACGATTTTACTTTAGCCATCAGTGATGTCGTAGGGATAGTTTCGTGGCGGGTAGATTATCTTTCTCATTAACAACTTCATTTCTAGAGGCCATTTCTTATTAGTTTTGAGATTAAACTATCTGTGGACTGGCTCTTCAATAACCCTTACAGAGGCTCTTCCCTGTCTCCATTCCTCTGGACTATTGCAGCTACTTTGCCCTACACTAGCACTCTACTCAGTGAGTGCTTGCTGGGTACCAAGCGCTGTACTCAGCATGGAAGCACCCAGAATCTAGGGGAGGAGGCAGTGACCCAAGCTGGCGGTCTCCATGTCTGGGAGAAGTATGCAGAGCAGTTGTTCACCCATACAACATGCCGCATTGGAACTGGTGGTTCTCAACAGGAGGATTTTGCCTCCCAGGTCCTTTGGTGCAAACTGGAGACATTTTGAGTTGTTACAGTGGGAGAGTGGATATTCCTTAGCATTGTGCAAGGGAAAATGCACCACACACACACACACTTTCCACAAACATACCACACACACCATACCATGCACATAAACACACCAACACCTAATAATACACACACCACACACACACCATACCACATCACACACACACACACACACACACACACACACACACACACACACACATCAACACACTGTACCACACACATCATCATCATCAGAAGTCACTGAAACCTCACATAAAATGCATTCTGTATGAATTCAAAGCAGAATGTAACAGCCTAGGGGAAAGGAGCAGGGACACTGAGGAAGCCCCACTCTGAAACCCTAAGTACGTGGGACCCATGTAAAGTGGAGAGAGCCTTGCCTGCTGCCCTAACCAAACTGGCAATGGGATGTGGGCAAGCGTGGTGAGTGGCTGGCTCTAGGGAGACTGAATACCTGACTGCAGAGAGAGCATCCAAAAGCCCTCCAGGAGCTGGTCCCCAAGGCGCAACTGGAAGTGGATGGCTTTTTAAAGGAATGCAGGCTCTCAGAAAAATCCAACCAGCACCTACACCCCCAGTGATGACACTATTGTTACTCTGTGTCATAGTGATGCCTCACATTCTGGGAGCATTGCCACTGTGTCTCACATTGTCATATACACACATACACACACACACACACACACACACACACACACACACACACACACCATCCTCAAATGAAGCAGTATTTTTTCCTCCATTTCACAGAAAGGAAGCCTCCAAGCTGCGTAACTCCCTATGCCCTCACAACTGGCATGTGACAGAGATGAGGTGGAATCACCTGAACTGTCACTAAAGGTCACACGCCACTGTGCCTGCCCAGTGGCTTCCACAGCCCTGGCCATGGGCACTAGTCTCCATTGTGATAGGGTGGCACTCACTGGCTCCTTTCTCTATCATAAAGATGCAAAGCTGACACCATTAAGATCCTAGATGTCCTTCCCAGGCTCTCACGGCAGAAAGAGGTAATGTGGGATTTCAAACCTGAGATTTCACACCAAATAGCACCCAGGGCACCACAGTCTTCTCTGGTAGCAATCCACATATTTATAGATAGTCCGCCAATGTCTACTGGCGGCACACAGCAGTCTCTATGAACAGTGGGGCCAAGGGACATACGCATTTAAGCTGAGGATTCTAGCCATAGAGTAGCCGGACACGTGGCTGTGGCATGATCAGTGTGGGCTGATGGTGCCTCATTGTCTTTTACAGGTTTTTCACAGGGACAAGGCCATCTCTAAGGATGTCAGAAGCCAGCACTTTAAAGGTAAGGTCCCAAGAGTTTAAAATCCCATGGAGTATCTCCCCTGCTCCCATGGTCCTGTGTTCTGCTTGTGGTCACAGGCCCCCGTACACCAGGAGCCATGATGATGCCGAGAAATGACTGTCCCATTCCGCCACCATGCACGCCTCTCAACTCTTTTACAGCCTTACTTCATTGGCAAAGAAATTGATTGGGAAAACTCATATTCTGTTCTACATCATCTGAGAAAGGCATTGTTTCAAAAAAAAAAAACCATATGGATTGCATTCAAATAAGTCATTTCTATAAGCACATGCCCTGAAAAAAAAATCACAAGATAGGAATCTAATTTTAAAATGTTGATTAATGAATATGAAAATGGGCTTTAGAGCTTGAGGCAAAACTACTCAATCTGACGACAGAAGTACAGGTACAAGCCTGAAAGGAAGTAATCAATTCCATCGATGCTGGAGGCACAAACCAAGGGCAGCAGGAGAAATTCCGCTGGATCGTATCTATTATGGGTCTCATCATTTTCCCCCTGGCCCCATTGTCTCTTACGACGTCCCATGAAAAAGATGTCCTTTGATTTACAGTCCCCAAATACTGAAGCCCACCAGCTTCACCATCCACGTGCTTAATGATGAATCCCAAAGTGTCTTAGACACATCACCTTTAATAAGAAAGGGCACCACTACAGGTCCCAATAGGCAACGATGATGACCACAAAGCTGGGTAATTTAGGAAAGTTTACTTACCGAGGAAGTATTTACAGAAGTGTGCCAAGTATAGAATCATAGTTTAGATCCAGGGCTGACGTGACCAGGGGGTGGGAGATCCCCACCCTAGGCCCAGAGAGATGGGGAGGAGCTGCTGAAAGCCACAAAGGCAAGCACTATAGTGGGGAGACCTCCCAGGGAGGGAGCTGTGTTAGTTTCCCATTGCTACAACAAAAATCTCTAAGAAAGCCACCTTCAAAGGAGCCGAAGTTGCTTTTGCTCACAGTTGCAGAGATCTCAGACCACAGCTGGGTGGCCAGTGCTTTGGGGCTGTGGTGAAGCAGAGCATCAAGAGGACAGGGAATGTTAGAGAAAAATCTCATGATCTGAAGATGTCTTGGAAGCAGAGAGAGAGGAAGGGGCCGAGTACCAATATTCCCAGCAAAGGCAGGCCCCCATGACCTCTAACTTCCTCCCCTAACTCCTTTTTCCTTCCTAGGGTCCCCAGAACTCCCCAATAGTATCGCAGGCTGACAAAAGTCTCTACCCATGAGTCTTTGATGGACATTTAATATAAAAAGGATATAAAGCATGATAGGAACCAGGGAGGTAAATGCTCAGGCCCCTCTGAATCCCTGTCTGGCTTCCCAGCACAGCCTACTTGGGGCCACAATGCTGAGGAAGGATGAGAAGGATACTCAGAGCAAGAAGCAGAGTGTGCAGAGCAAGGGCAGCAGCCAGGAACCAATCTCTGGCTGCCATGAGGCGACCTATCATTCCTGAGGAGAGCAGACCTCTTCAAGATCAACAGCAGGCAGGCCTAATGCCAACTTGCTCCAGTATGGCAGTTTGGGAGACCCATCACACTTGGGCAGGAAGTGTTCTAAATACCTCCAGCCCACAGCTCATCTGCAGCCAGCTTAGCCTCACAGGTTCCTGTCTGACTCCATCGCCTTCCTGAACCCTGATTTGACATCTTCTCAATGCTTCTTAGGTCCTTTAAGGACAGCTTCTCTGTCTACTCAACTACAACTCATTCTACCAACTGATTTGCTTCCACTCTTTAAAACACTAAGGTGCATTGTGCAAAAGCCTTTTCACTTCTCCTGACAGAGACAGGGAACAGAAGCCCAACGACTCCCAAGCCATGGCCTGATCATTAAAATAGGCACAAGTCTTCAGCAACAGTGGCACACTCTACTCTGTGATGAAAACTGAGTCCTGGGACAAGAAACAGCAGAGAGGTCTCAGTTGCTGCTGTCCATCTGTCTGGGCGTGTCATTTCCTTAATATTTCATCAGCTCCTAAGATCTGGAAAAGAAAAGAAAATCTTACACAGTAAAATAGAGAAAGGAAAAAAGCAAAACCCAAAGGAAAATAGGGATAATCTTAGTTTGCCTCTAAGGTTCTTGGTAGTTCTCCATGGAATATTAATTTCACATATCAAAATAGCAGACCAAATCCTCAGGAAGAAGGCATGGGTTTACTTCTCATGGATGTGCTGGTACTGTCTGTTTCATAGAGGATGCTGGCTGATGTCATAGGGTGGTGGTTTGAATGGCTTGTCCCCCATGGTCTTGGACATTTGAGTATTAGGTCCCCAAGTGGAGGCTCTGTTTGAGTAGGCTCAGGAGATGTGGCTTTGTTGGAGAAAGTATGGCAGGCTTTGACAGTTTAAAGACTAAGAGCACCTCTAGTTTCTCTCTGGTGTAGGAGTATCTTTTGTTTGTGTGTTGCTTTCATTGGGTAACGAATAAAGAAACTGCCTTGGCCTAGTTGATAGGACAGAACTTAGGTAGGCGGAGTAGACAGAACTAAATGCTGGAAAGAAGGGCAGAGTGGCAGACGCCATGGATCTCCTGCCTGATTCGATGCTAGTTAGAATCTTGCCGGTAAGCCACAGTCATGTGGTGATACACAGATTAATTTAAATGGGTTAAATTAAGATGTAAGAATTAGTCAATAAGAAGTTAGAGCTAATGGGCCAGGCAGTGTTTAAATGAATACAGTTTCCATGTGATTATTTCAGGTGTAAGCTAGCTGGGCAGCCGAAACGACAAGCAGCCCGCTCCTCCTGTTACCTCTCTCTCTCTCTCTCTCTCTCTCTCTCTCTCTCTCTCTCTCTCTCTCTCTCTCTGTGTGTGTGTGTGTGTGTGTGTGTGTGTGTGTGTGTGTCCTTTGTACTTGTGGCTCAAGATGTCACCTCTCAATTTGCTACTCCCTCACCCCTTCCCTGCCATGATGAACTCTTATCCCTCTGGAACATAAGCCCAAATGATCCCTTTCTTCAATATCATGGTGTTTTATCACAGCAATAGAAAAGCGACTGAGGCGAACGGCCACAAAGATCTAACTGCTTTTTCAAAGGGAGCCCCCAGTATCATCTCAGGCCATCACTGGAGACAGTAACTCAAGTAAAGCAAGGTTCAGTGAAGGCAGGGCAGGATTCTCGAAGCTTCTTCCGTGACTATAGTTCTTCCCCACACTTCTAGAACTGATGGATCTCTACCGTCACCCTGGACACTCAGGTACTACCGACAGGGGGGAGGAAATAAATACAGACCCTCCTGCTTTTAGGATCAGGCACCTGGTGGGAAAATGCCAGGATGGTTTGTGTTCATCACAAAACTCTGTGTTCTTGATGCCAACACATATTCTCAGCTAATTTGTTCTCACAGAATGTCACAGGGAAAAGGAACCACACCCATTGATTCAGGAACAGAGGGATTTTATGGTGGTATTTTTCATCAAGTTAAGCAGCTACAGTTTTATGTAAATGTATGTCTCCTGTCATTTTTCCTCCTCCGGAAAGCATCATATTTCGAGACCCTGAAGGTGGAGGAGGGTTTTTTTTTTCTCCTAGAAATGAGCAAAAGTTTTAATTGGAGGTAAAGTTGTTACCATACAAGCTGTGTGTGATGACCCACCAGCAATAACCACCAGATCCAGAGGACACCTCATTTCCAAGGTTACTGTCCAATAGACAGGGCTTAGCTTCCTGGGAGCAGCGAAGCCGAGAACACGCGCAGCCCCAGATGTACATCTCCTTGCCTGGGATGTAAACTAAACTCAAACGCTAAACCAATTTTCTTTGAAGTGACACGCATACTCTATTCAGGAATCACTTTATAAAGAAATACAATAAACCATCCAAGAAAAAGAATTATGCTCAGCAGCTGAATAAGTAAATCCAGAAGCACAAGCATGGCTTGTGGAAAGCAGCAAACCAGTTTCCACACAGTGTCCTCCAGAGGGATCATGCGAATTTGCATCTAAAGGGACTAGGATGCTGAAACAATCAGAGGTCACTTCGGAGTCAATCTGGCTCAAGGCCCTGGTGGCCCGTGCTGAGGTGCAGCTCAGGGTTAGCCAACAAGGAGTCAGAGCCTAGATCGTCAGCTGCAGATGTTCCCTGGGACACTGGCCAGTGTTGTCATTCAGTCACCTGCAGCTCCTGTACTGATGGCCCACTCCTCCAAACTGTTCCGTTCAAGGGAAGAACAGGTGGGTGGTACTGTGCCCTAGTGGCTGCAGGTGGCAACACAAAACACAATGGAACTGGGTATCCCGTAAACTGCATACTTAATACTAAACCTTAGCTCACAGATTGATAAGAGAGAAATGAAAGGCTGACTTGTGTTTGTGTTGGATTTAAATTTATTTCAGTTACAACCCATGGTCCAAAATCAACACAAATATCAGTACCATGCTGGATTCAAAACTAATGCTTTAAACTAAACATCACACATTAATGAGACTTTTAAAAATCGATTTCTTAAGCTGGCATACAAAGAAATGGTTTTAATTATGACACTTTCATGTATGTGTCATGATAGTGGTCCGAATTATTCTCCATCCCCCAAGGCCCTTTCCCCCAATTCTGGCCTCCTTCTTCCCTGCAGTGGCCCCTTCCGCATTCCTGCCACATGCTAGCAATTGCTCTTTCTCCCCCTAAAGATCTCTTCCTCCGCTTTCATGCTCTCCTTCTTAGTTCCATCATGTACTGGTTCATGCACACATGCACACTCACATGCACATCTGCACAGATATGCATGCACAAACACACATTCACACGTGCACTCATATACACACTTAAGTCTAGGTTCTGCCTGCCTTGTTTTGCTTCACATGGTGTCTTCCATTTCTATCCATTCACGCAAGTGACAGGATCCTGGTCTTTACAGCTGAGTACTGTTCCATTGTGTTTATATACCACAATGTCACTTAATCTGATTCCATAATTTGGCTGTTGAAAAGGGACGCTGCCACAATGGATACAGGCATTGTTTAGGGCAGATGTTCTTC